CCGAAAATAATCGACAAAATATCGCGTAGAAAATACCAAGAATCAACGGTTTTTCCCCAAAAACCTAATATTTCTTAAAATTTTTCTTCACTCGTTGAAAGAAAACCAATCAACAATATGATTTCTAAAAATAATGACTTAGATAAACTCAAGATTAGACCGGATTATGTAAAAAAAAAATCATCTCCGCTGCATCGAAAAATGATAATTTCGATTCGAAAACCGGAATACGTTTAAAGTTTCACAAAGTTCCTTATAATTTTTTTTAATTACTTTTCAGAAAACGCTAACTAATGAAAGTTTACTTTTTCTTACATGTGTATTACGAACATGTTTAATTGGAGATTGCAGCAATAAGCAGGTAATTTTTTTTCGCATTTAATTGCCAGCGAAGCGGGTTTAAATTGTTTCGTTTCAAAGCGAAATTAAAACTAATTATTAAGAATCGTTCACTACATTAAACAAAAAAAAAACTAAATGTCGAAGTTTTATATAAAAAAAAATATAATACTTTTACTTTAGTTACATTCACTTCTTTAGTCAATTAAATTAATTTCTCGCTCTTTCTATTAAACTAAAATATCTAATCTATTTTAATGACGATATATTTAATTAAAACATGCTAAAAACATGAAATATTGCATTTATAAGAAATTCGTTTACTAATTAAAAATTTGGTTACGCTTTTTTTAGTTACGATGTTTTAGTTATATGTGAATATTGAAATTAGTTTCTAATTGAATCTTGACGTTATTATATTTTAACGACTTTTCCTGGAAGTAAAAACTAAAAATTTTAACAAATAATTTAATAATTCTTAAATGCATTTCAAATTGAAGATTGCAAATTGTAAAAAATTCGTTTAATAATTAAACATTTTTGTTTTTTTTTCTTATAAATTCAAGATGCAAAACATTTCCTGTCGTTAAAATTTTCAATCTTTTATTAAAGGAATGAACGTAAACGGTTTTAAGGAATCAACAACAACATCAACGATGTAAAACAATTTACAGGTAAACGAATTTTATTAGTAATTAAAGTTTAGTGCTCAAGCTTTGAGATGCGTTCGGTGTGTGGTATTTATGGTTTTTTACTGTGTGAGAGTGACATTAAATTCATTTCAAAAAAACAGATTTTATATTTTTCGTTGTGTACATTTACTAAATAATTAAAACGAATGCTTATGAAATTAATAAAATGTTTATTTTAACTTTTTATATCTATAAACGTATTTTTTTTGTATACCAAGAATGAACTTTAATCAATAATATATTTTCCATTTTCTTTGATGACCTTTTGCCATCTTTCTGGTAACTTTATAAAACTGATTTCAGGTCATCATATTTAGACAGAAGTCTAATACAATGTCATTTATTTGCTCAAATAGTAATAACATTAAAGTGAATATGAATAAAAAATCTTGTTCTATAATCAGAGTTTCTCAACCATTTTTCTGAGAGATACTACATTTTTGACTCAATTGTTTATAATTGTCTATGATGCAAGGTGACAACTGTCAAATGACAAGGAACCAATTAACAAATGAACTACTCCCAATATAAATTGTTATATAAGCAGAGTTTTTCAACTTTTTCTCTAGAGACACAACATTTTTGTTTGCAGTTATAATGTGACTCAATTGTTTGATAGGTAGATACTCATCCATTTCAGCTGAAAACAAAGTTTTAATATATAAAACGATATGGACTTATGGATTACAACTATGGGGATCTGCTTGTAATACAAGTATTGACATCATACTGCGGTTCCAGTCAAAAACGCAAGGCGCAAGGTGACAGCTGTCAAATTATAGCAAGTTATTAACAATTTAAGTACTCCCAATATAGATTGTTATATAAGCAGAGTTTCTCAACCTTTTTCCTAGCGACACTACATTTTTGTTTGAAGTCAATTGTTTTTATAATTTTCTTTGATGCAAGGTGACAGCTGTCAAATAACAGCAACCAATTAACAATTTATATATTATATAAGCAGTGTTTTTCAACCTTTTTCCGAGAGACACTACATTTTTGTTTGCAGTTCTAATGTGACTCAATTGTTTATAATTTTCTTTGACGCAAGGTGACATCTGTCAAATAACAGGAACCCATTAACAAATTAATTACTCCTAATATAGATTGTTATACAAACAGAGTTTCTCAACTTTTTCTGAGAGACACTACATTTTTGTTTGCAGTTATAATGTGACTCATTTGTTTATAATTTTCTTTCACGTAAGGTGACAGCTGTCAAATGATAGGAACAAAGTAATAATTTAACTACTACCAATTAACAAATTAATTACTCCTAATATAGATTGTTATATAAGCAGAGTTTCTCAATCTTTTTCCTAGCGACACTACAGTTTTGTTTGAAGTTATGATGTGAGTCAATTGTTTTTATAATTTTCTTTGATGCAAGGTGACAGCTGTCAAATGACAGTAACCAATTAACAATTTAACTACTCCTAATATATTATATAAGCAGTGTTTCTCAACCTTTTGCCGAGAGACACTACATTTTTGTTTGCAGTTATAATGTGACTCAATTGTTTATAATTTTCTTTGACGCAAGGTGACAGCTGTCAAATTAATAATTAACAATTTAATCAATTGACAATATAGATTGAGAAATGTTGTTATATAGTATTTATATTTATCAAAATGTGTATGCAAATAATACATAATTATTTTATTATTATGTTTTTGTAATTATGAAATTTATGTTTTTGACATTTGCATATTTAATTTGAAATTAATGACATGTTTTTTTGTTGTTCAAGTTTTTGTTCTAAACGAAATGCTTAAAATTTCATTATATTGTTCAATATATATCATTTTTAAAGCAAATTATATCTACAAACTAATAATAAGGATCAATGATAATCAATGATAATACTGTATTATCACAGCATTGCGTTTAATGAGCAAAATAAATTGTAAAAAAATTACTCCAAAATGGAACGCATTGATCGTATATTACATTAGTTTATATGGGGAAAATTGTTTCACTATACGAGCAAAAATCCTGAAATTTTGGAACGGATTATATTCGTTAAGCGAGGTTTCCACTGTATATAAAAAACTGGTTAGAATTTCCAATAATATTATGTATAAACTTTGTTCCTTTTTCTTTTCAAAGCTTGAATGTAAAAATCATGATTACATTAGAATGATAAGAATGTTGTTGCTATTATAATATTTATGTTACGTTTTTACGCATATTTATGTTTGTTGTTGTATTTGAGGCATCAAAAGCTACAATCATTAGCAATAATCAAATTAGATTAATGATTATTTAAAAATATTATTCAATATACAACATTTTTAAAAAAATAAGTGAATTTTTAAAACAACGTTATGAATGAATGAATGAAATATAAAAAAATATTTATTTTAAGCTTTTTTAAATATTTTCTCTTAAACTTGAAATAATATCCAAGTGAACATAAAAAAAACTATTTATATTATCAAGAATGTGTTATGTCTGTTATTAATTATTATTTTAGAATAATAAAAAGTTTATAGTAATGATTATTTATATAAAAAAAATTGGTTGTTGCTTCTTGTGTTAATATTTATGGTTTGAATGAAATTATTTACATTATATGCATCATTTTAGAAGAATGTTATTAATATAAATATGTAAAAAAATTGTATTTACAAAAAAAACACATTTTTTTATAATGTTGATGATTTTGGAATGAATAAGCTCTATATTATAAAAAAAATATTATGAATTGATTTATGTATATAATTTATCAAACTTCAAATAATATATACTAAAATTAGTTTACAAAGGTTTCTATTAAATAAAATGTACATAATTCTATATTATTAACCATAAATTGGATTAAATAATCTATGCTAAAAACGTGCAAATTCAATATTTCATTTTTAAGAAATTCGTTTACTAATTAAAAATTTGGCTACGTTTATTTTTTTTAACTTGTGATGTTTTTTTTAGGAGAATATTTGAATTACTCTACAATTGAATATTACATAATCATATTTTAATGACTTTCCCAGTAAGTAAAACCTAAAAATTTTAATAAATTATTTAATTATTTTGAAATGCATTTGAACTTCAACTTGAAACATAAATATCAATAATATTGTATGTAAAATGAGTTTACTAAAGATTCTATCAAACAAATAGCAATTATTTTAGAAATGATAAGAATGTTATTGTTTATAGATTTGTATGTTAATATTTTTTTTTGTCAATAAAGAAAATTGTATGCATGTTTCAAATATTATTAATTAAACTAAAATTTATATTTTTACTTATTTAAAAATATTTATTAATCAAACATTGACCAAAGGGCATAGAGAATAAATGAGAACATTGTGTAATTTTTTTTTTCTATAATAATTAATTAATAATAATAAAAAAGACAATTTTACCAAAAAACGACAGAAATATGAATACTAAATTACAATTTGGCTTTGTTGTCACAAGTTCAGAACAATCCAGGTCAAACATGACAACATATACATGTTTGCCCGAAATGCAGACATGAGTTTCGATTTTGTAATTGTCTTTATGGTTTTTCTTAAGACGCTATATCAAAGCCGCCCGATCTGTGGTTTTCTTTGCTTTTAAGTGGTTTATATAAAATATAATAACATCTTATATAATCAGTTTCTATCAAAAAATAGCAATTAATTTAGAAATTATAAGAATGTTATAGTAATTATGATGTTATTTGTATATACTTAATTTTAAATTGTTTATAAATTTGAATGTTAATATCTTTTTTTGAATAAAAAAAATCGTAAAAATAAAAAAGATTTTTTATGTCATCAATCATAGATATAATGATTTTATATTGACAGAAATGCTATAGTAATTATGATATGTTATTTGCATACATTATTTGGCTATTGGTTTTTTGGTGTTGATGTTTTTGAGAGTGAATGAATGAACGTGATTAGTTTTTATGCGTTCGCATTTGATGGATTCGATGAGTGGTGAGTGTGTTAGTTGGATGGACGGAGGCGAAGTTCGAAATGTTTGGGAGCGTGCATAATGCATCAGAGATTGGTTAATTAATTGATGCCGTTGTTAATTGATGGTATCGGAGAGCGGAGGATATTATAATTCGAGGATAATGATTGATCTTCGGGCGCGATTGGCAGGTATGCAAGAGCGTTAAAAGTTTCCGATCCTAACTATAGAAAGGTGAGACACGTCGGTAGTAGTAGTAGTACACACAGTGTATGTATATAGTCGATGGTTTGAGTGGGGATAGAGGAGAGACTGGCTGAGTAAGATTGGAATGGAAGAAGTAAACTGCCAGCCGGAGAAGCAGGCTGCAAGCAGCAAGCAATCATACGTTCTGGTAGTTAGTGCTCGAGCCGGGAACGAAAGAGACCGACGACGCGAGTTCCATCCATCGATGCCAGTCGCCCGAAGACATCCATGAACAGTTGGCGCTACCACGGGGCTATACGAGGATCCGTTGATGATGAAGAAGACCGAAATGGAAGTGCGCGCCGGTGTTTTGATGATGATGTTGGTGGTATTCGCGACCACGACATCATCCGCGAAGAAAATCGCGATCAACAAATGCTGTACGATGGACCAACACATGACCAGAAGTGACAATTACACGTGCGTTAACGAGAAGAAAGACTATTGGACTGTGGCTAAGATATACGTGCAACGCGATCGAAAGTATCTGCAAACGGGAGATTACCCAAGAATATGGGAGATCAAAGAAGGTGGCATACCGAAGTGCGATTCGAACAACTCCCTTCGTCTGCTGAAGTACACGCAAGGTTCCTTCCTGATCTTCGGCAACAGCTCTCTCTTCATCGCCGAATACAACAAGTTGATACCGGCGAGGAAGTACTGCGTGGACTACGACACCGCTCTTGTGTGTCAAGAGGAGATAGCGGTGTTCAGGCCCCAGGTGAAGAAGTGCTGCGGTAACGGCGCTCTATACTCCGATGCGAAGAAGGGCTGCGCCTACTCGCGCAACGGCAAGGACTCTATGCTGTACCTATCCTCTGAATACGAGACCACCAACGGCTTTCCGGACTGCAAGAATGACATGGTCATCGCCGGTGACTTCAACGAATCCTCTCTGCAGCCGGACGGCAGTCTTCAGATCGCTGAGACCAATTTAGCTGCCGGTGACTTCTGCTTGGAACACGTTCTGGAGAATGCAGGTAATTTCGCAACATCATTAGTCGGTATTCCCGTTTCTTTCTTTTGTATCGTTCGCCGGAAGCGCCGCCGCGTGCATAATTGTGTCTTCTCTTCTTTTTTTTCCGGCGAGGTTTCGCGACTTCGTCGAGGATCCGTGCCAAGTGTGTCACGGTAAGAAAGAAAGTAACGGATCCTCGTATAGCCCCGTGCGTATTATTATTACCGAAATCATGATTCACAATTATCAGCACTTGCGCAACATCGAAAACAATAACAGAAAATCACCAAAAACGTACGTGCCGCAATGGAAAAAGAAAGTCTTTCACAATAATAATAATACCCACATGCGTCACATTTTGCTTAACAGCTACATTATAATATTTACTTGTCAAATTGACACAAGTAACTAAAGATAAATTTATCACCTTGAACAAACACAGCAATCCTTAAAAATTGACAGTAGAAATAATTTGAATCAAAGTTACTATTCATAATATGATCATATTCTTTAAAACGTGATATAGTTGGAAAACTTGTTAGTTTAAGAAAAGTGCCACAGCTGTTTAAATTCTGCTTTACAATATTTACTTGTCAAACTGACAGACAATTTATCAAATTGAAAAAACACAGCAATCCTTAAAAAATGACTGTTCCAATTATACGAATCAAAGTTCATATTATATAAGTTATATAATAAAGTAGTAAAGAGAAGCTAAAATATTGAATAATAGTTCAAACATACAAAGAACTTTCAGAATCTTGTAATAATATTTTCAAACTGGATCAAACTCAAATTTGGACAGTTTCGTTTGACAATTGATACGTCAATTATCAGGAACATAAAGTTGTCGTCAAAGATGATACACGTATTTTTGAAAACGTGATATAGTCGGAAATATTGTTCTTAGTTTTAGAAAAGTGTCACATTTGCTTAACAGCTGTTTACATTTATGTCAAACTGACATAAGCAACAAAACATAAATTGATTAATTTGAAAAACATTAAAAATTGATAGTTTAAATAATATCAAAGTTATTAATATAATAATTTATGTTATAAAAAGACAAATCAAATTTCACGAGTAAAAAATAACAAATACAGTTTTTTTTTCACATAAAAAAAACTTTAAGAATCTTTTAAAACTTTAATCTGGAGCATACATTAATGTTGTTTTTGACAATTGATACGCTATTTATGAGTCACTTGAAGCGATGATCATATTCTTGTAAACGTGATATAGTTGGAAAACTTCTTAGTTTGAGAAAAGCGTCACATTTGCTGAACAGCTGTTTAAATTCTACATTTCATTTTACTTCAAAAACACAGAAATCATTCAAAATTGACAATTCAAATAACATATAAGTTAATAATGTAAGTTGTAAAGATAAAAATCAAATTTGACAAGTAAAAAATAACAAATATAGTTCTTAAACAAGATTTTTTTAAATATTTTCAAACTGTTCTAAATTTGACAGTTTCATTTGACAATTGATACGTTATTTATCAAACATTTAAAGCGATTATTAAAAGTTAACTTATCGTCAAAGATGACACACGTTTTCTTGAAAATGTGATAAAGAAAACTTCGTAGTTTGAGAAAGCGTAACATTTCCTTAACAGCTGTTTAAATTTAACATTACAATATTTACTTGTCAAACTGACATAAGCAAACAAAGATAAATTGATTAATTTGAAAAACACAGCAATCATTAAAAATTCATAATTCAAATAATATAAAAGTTATTAATATAATAATTTACGTTCTAAAAAAACAAATCAAATTTGACAAGTATAAAATCACAAATAGTTTTTTTCATATAAAAAAACTTTAAGAATAAAATTTTAAACTGGAGCATACACTAATGTTGACAGTTTTATTTGACATTTGATACGCTATTTATCAGACACTTAAAGTGATCATTAAAATATAACTTAGAGTCAAAGATGATACACGTTTTCTTGAAAATGTGATTAAGAAAACTTCGAAGTTTAAGAAAGCGTAACATTTTCTTAACATCTGTTTAAATTCAACATTACAATATTTACTTGTCAAACTGACATAAGCAACTTATGATAACTACTGTTTAACTTATAAGACGCAGCAATTTTTTAAGATTAACAAAGCACAAAAAGTTTATTATATTTATTTTTTAATATTTTAAATTGGAAATAGCACATATTTGTTTAATTTCGTTACACAAACACACTATTTATCATAACTTAAGACTTAAAGTCATCACCAAAAGATAACTTATCAAAGATGATAAACATGTACTTAAATATACGATACAGTAGGAAATCGCTGAAGTTCAATAAACAGTATTGAGAATGCATGAAAAGACAAGTTTAAAATTTCATTCATGAACAAAGAAAATAAACCTCAATGGTTGATAATGCAAATATCTTAATTACTTAGAGTTTAATTTATTGAAAACAAAATGTCTTACAACAATAAATCCAATGAAATTGTGATATAAATTATATTAATAAAATTGTTTATTTATTAATCTACTTTGTTTAAATTATATTTAATCAATATTCATCTTAGATACCCAAAAAAATATTGTTTCAATGTCTGAGCTTAATTTCAAAACATTTGATAAATTCTAACAGAAATAAACTTTTATAAATATTTAATATTATTTATAAAAATAGACAAGATTTACATTATAAATCATGTAAATACTTTCTATTTATAAATAAAATATTTGGAATGCGAATATATTTACTGTTTTTGTTAACTTTAAACCAAAAACAGTTAATATCTAAAATTAAATTATTTTTTAGAATTTTTATATTATAAAATGATTTATTTTAGTTTAATCTCTTAATTAATTATTAATTAATATTTGCATAATCATGTTTATTAGTATTATCAACAAATGATATTTTTTCGAATTTTTTTATCGAAAAAAATAAATTTGGTAAATTAATTTTTCAAGAAATTGCATGAATTTGTTATTCAATGTTTTCTATTTGTAGTGAAAATCGGACGTTGGGAAAAAACGTTGGTTTGGATTCTAAAACGCAGTTGCCAACATTCCTTGGCGCTAATATTATCAATCAAAAAAAAAATCCAAGAAATTAAATGATATACAAGCAAGTTTACACATTCAATTAGTAATATTTTTTATTAGTTATTTTTACCAATTCGACAATGAACTATTTAAATTTGTTTTATGTTTAGATATTTGCGTATGAAAATGCGTACGTTCATATTATTTTTGTATACTGAAACATCTGTTTTGCTATGAAAGTTGTAGAAAGTAAATCATAAAAGTTTACATCAAATTTATTACATACATCAAAATGATTTAGTTCATCTCAAATATACCTAAAATTTAGATTAAGTAATAAATTTCAGTTTTTTTACTATAGACAATTAATTTATTGCATTAATTACAACTTATTGGATTTATTGATAATTTTGCAATAAAATTGTGTACGTTTTACTGTACATATTTTTGTATCTAAAACATCTGTTTACTATAAAATTTGTAGCAAATAAAATTAAAAATTTGTTACTTAAATCGAAATGCAAAATTTATTACATTCAATTGATTTATTTCATTATAAAATGAAGTAACAAAAAGTAATTTCAAAGTTAATTAATTTATAATTTTGTTTGTATTAGAATTATTAATAATTTTGCTATAAAATTGTGTACGTTTTACAGTACATATTTTTGTATCCAAAACATCTGTTTACTATAAAATTTGTAGCAAATAAAACTAAAAATTTGTTACTTAAATCAAAATGCAAAATTTATTACATTGATTACAGTGATTTATTTCACTATAAACTGGAGCAACAAAAAATAAATTTAAAGATAATTAATTTATAATTTTGTTTGTATTAGAATTATTAATAATTTTGCTATAAAATTGTGTACGTTTTACAGTACATATTTTTGTATCCAAAACATCTGTTTACTATAAAATTTGTAGCAAATAAAACTAAAAATTTGTTACTTAAATCAAAGTGCAAAAATTTATTACATTCAAGTGATTTATTTCACTATAAACTCGAGCAACAAAAAAATAAATTTAAAGATAATTAATGTCCAATGTTGTTTGTATTGGAATTATTAATAAATTTTCTGAAGAAAGTCAATTAAGTTAGATCAATATTACTTTACAGAAGAAAATTGCAAAAACTGTGAAATACCTAAAGATGATTGAAATGTTGTAAATATCTTTTAAGTCGTGTTTACCGTTCGTTTTTGCTGGAGCGCGCGTCTCTGTTTTCGTTTTCTAGAAATAGAATTAAATTTAGCACGAGTCCACAAGGCGAGCAACTAAACTTTCCTTAGAAGGTCTTCGTTCTCCGTCGATATTTCGCAGCGTGCTGCAACAGCAACAAGACGTAAGATAAATTCTACAATCGGCGTGGATTGAGCTTAACAGAATGTCGACTTTAATTATTTCCATCCTTATTAGGTCTTATTAACTTTTTTTTTATTATAATGCATTGTTGTCGAAAACCCTCAAGTTTATATGTAAGAAAAAAGAAGTTAATTATAATTGCAGTTTTGCAAGATGAGTTTATTTTATGGTCGTAAATCCCACTCGAATGTCCCTCCTCGGTTCTTCAGATTTCTCTCTTGTTTTCCTTTCGTTCCTCTTCTGCGAAGAAAGTTTTACGACCACCACTCGAGGGCTGAAGGAACGGAACGTTCGAAGAACGGTTGGAAAAGTTCTTTGTGAGCCCTCGAGAAGAAAAAGGTACCCGAAGAAGTAATGAGTATATGCTTGAAAAGCTTTTGAAAAAAAGGTCAATTACGGTAAGCCGGTTGGAGACGTATTGTCACGTTGTCGAAATGTTTGCAATCGAAATTTGGAATCAACATTTTCTATATGAAAAGAACAAAAATATTTCAGAAAAACTTATTTTTTTCCTTTTATAGATTAAATAATGAAAATAAATTTCAGTTTTTAACTACAGACAATTTGATTTCTTATATTAAATCATTGGATTTATTAATATTTTTTCTATAAAATTGTGTATGTTTCTTTCAGTG